CCTCAGCCCCCCCTCTGGTCATTCAGGTAGCCTCTCCACCTGGGTCTGGGTCCCTGGGGGGCAGCAAAGGCTTCTCTGAGCAGGGAGCCTGGGCGCCTTGGCCCCCATCCCAGAAAGAGCTGCTCCGCATCCTTCCTTATCGGCTTCTGCTGGGCTGGACAAGCCCTTATCTCCATCCGTCAGGATGTTAAGCCGCTCATTAGGGAGAAAGCTTACGTTAGGGGAGGCAGAAGGGGGAGAAGCCGGCAGTTGCTGTGCCCCCCACCTGTTCACTGCCAAGGAAACCCCTCCCCCCCTGTGGGTGGGATTCAGGGGCAGAGCAGCCAAAGGGCCCCAGGGAGGCCAAAGGGCAGCTTTCCAGAAGCCCCAAATCCCCTTTTTGGAAGCAAAATGTCTCCCATAAGGGGAAGAAGGACCAGGAAGGGTGCAGACGTCTCCCTCCCCAGCTGGCTTTGGGGGCTCCCGGCAGTATCACCTGATGGGNCCCCCCCCCCGGCCTCAGCCCCAGCGACCTCTGAGCTCCTGGGGCCGCCTGGCTCTCTTCCCAGGGTTGGTGGCCAAATCCTGGTCGTCCTCCGTCTGTTTGCCAAAGAGTTTAACTTAAAGGGATTAATTGGGGAGGGGAGGTGGGGGTCTCTTCCTCCCTCCGGAGAGGCTGAAGCTCCCTCCCTGCTTTGGGGGCAGCCCCCTGGTCGTGGGGCTTATGCTTGCCCCACGGACCATGGCTTCCCATCTGGACCTGGGTCAACTGGGCAGCAAGGCCTTCCTGAGTAGGAAGCCTCCTCCCCTGCCAAACACTTTTCTATGGCAGGAGCAGCCTGGAAGCCTTCCCCGGGCTCCGGGTGCCAGTCCTACTCTGCTTCTTGCAGAGAAGGGAGGGGCTGGTCTTGGGGGCCCCAGAAGAGGCACCACAGTCTCCCTCTTCGGCCCTTGAGGGAAGGGCCGCTCTGGGCAAGCCCGTCGTCTGTTGCTTTGGATCCCTTGCCAGGGATGGGGGCATCTTTGGGGGGGCCAGAACTTCACCGCAGCGAGTAGGGAAGAGCAGAGGAGGTGGGGAGGGGTGGGTGGGCCGCGCAGACGGGGCACTGCCGTTGCCATGCAGGGGAAGGGAGAGGAGCCGAAGGCAAGGAGCGCCAAGCCAGAGCCCGCCTCCCCTCCACCTTCCCTGGGAAAAGGGGGTCTGCAGCAGCTGGGAACATCTGGGCTGTGCCCTCGCCAGTGCAGCGGGGCGGCCTTCTCAGCGTGAGCCTTGGATGGCTCTGCCTGGACACACTGATTTTGCCTTCTGTGGAAAGGCCGGCTGCTGGTGGAGGGGGAGCCGGGAAGCTCTGGGGCAGGGCTGGCTGGGGCAAGTTTCCTGAACAGGGGGGAGCAGCCCCCTGAAGCAGCCCCCAGGAACCCTCCGTCATCTTCCAGCCTGTCAGGGGAGAAGCCTTGGGGGTGGCGGTTCTCCAGGAGGGTCTGGGCCTCGGGCATGGGGTGTATGTGTGTGTACAATGGGGGGGGATGCATTCCCTTGTGTTCCCCTTTTGTTCAACTCCTCCCCTGGGTGCTGGATCCCACACGGGGGAGGCCTCCCCTGACACAGCAACCCCTCCCTCCCTCTGCCCCCCCTGTCTCTGTCTCCCTCCCCCCAACAAGAGGCCCACCACAGAACGGCTGGGGAGTCGGGGGTTGAGGAGGGTACCAGCAAGGCCGGCCTGGGGATGAGGAAGGGGTTCCCTTTTCCCCTGGAGCCCAGACGCCCCCCCCCCCTGCCCCGAGCAGCCTTCCTCTTTGGCCCAGCCGGCACCTGCTGTGCCCTTCTTGGCTGCTGCTTCTTGAGGCTGAGGTTGTGGTCGATGGGCATGTTAGTCCGCCTGTGCCGAGAGCAGCCGGGAAGAGCCGGTTGCCTCCTGGGTCTCTGGCGGTTTTGACAGCCTCGGCCCTCCCTGTCCAGCCAGCCTCTTCCCTTCTCCGCTCCCGGATTGTTCCACCTTGTGTGCGAAGAACCGGTTTCTCTCCTTCTTTTCCCGGGGGGGGGGGGGCTTTGTTTCCGCTAGATGGGTTACGTTGCTCCTGGGCCTCGCTCGCTCGTATTTCCTTTCTCACGCTTTCTAAAGGGCGTCCTTGTGTCCGCTTCCCCGCTTTCTGGCGGACAGGGAGAGGACGGGCACAAGCAGCTCTCGCTCCGGACACTCTCTCCGGCCAGCTTGCCTGAGACCGGGGGGGGGGGGGGCAGGATTGGCAGGCGAGTAAAGAGGGGCCTCCTTGGGGGTGGAAGCAGCAGCCGTCTTTCCTGCAGAGGTTTCAGGGGGGACTCCAGCCTCAGATGCAGTCTACCTGTGAATGGAAGCTCTGCCTTTCTTGCTCTGGGTATTGAAGGGGATTTCTGGAAGGCCGGCCGGGCAGGGCAATGCAGTGGGGGGGCACATTCTTCTCCCCCCCTCTCTCTCACACACACACACGGACCCTCCTCGGTCCCTTCCTTATCCCCCTCCCCAACTGCCACACATTCGCACTGCTCCACAGCTGGCTGCAGAGAGGGGGCCCCCAGGAAATGTCTCTGGGCGGCTGATTTGCTCAGGCCCTTTTGCCAGGGCCGGGGGGGGGGGCAGGGGGGCAGGCGAGGAGAGCAAGTGCTGAGGGGGGGCGTGGGCTTGTTTGGGGAATCGGAGCTGAGCTTGGAAAATCCCAGGGCGGGAAGAGGGCTGGGCTCCTGGGGGGGGGTGTCTGAGCCCATGAGGCATCTCCCAGCAATGTGTGACTAATGGGCCCAGGAGGAGAAGCCGCTGGGCTCCCCGGCTGAACTCTGCTCTGGGGAGCCCGGCCCAAGCTGCCTGGTGCCACAGCCCTTCCCCAACAGTGGTGGGATCCTTGGCCACAGGGAAGACCAGCTGCAACCAGCAGATCCCTTTGGCTGCTCTTCACCCCCTTAGTGTGTGTGTGTGTGTGTGTTTGAGTGTGAAAAGGCACACTGCACAGCTCACTGCCTGCCCTTTCCCCTCTGCAGAGCAGCCCAAGGAAGCCGGGAAGGTACAGACCCTCTCATGGGGCCCTCCCTCCTTCCCCTCCCCAGCCCCACAGAAGCAGCCATGTCCAGCCGGAGGGGCACCTTCTGTGGGCCCAGAGTCCTGCTGGGCTTCCCTGCTAGGCCTGGGGGCTTCCAGTGCGTCCCAGGACATGCAGCAGGCAGGTCCCAAAGAGGCAGGAAGCAGGTGCTGCGCCGGTGCCCTCGCTCAGGTGAGGAGGAAGCGCTGGCGGCCGTTCCCACACTCGGGCCAACCTTGCCAGCTCAGCCTGAATCAATGCCAAAGCTCAGACGGGCCCTGAGCAGCGGGACTGGGCTGGCACCCTCCTGCCAGCCAAGCTTTCCAGAAGCTCCCGAGTCACGGCAGGCCCCGCTTCCCACGGCCTCTCCTGCCGGGCCGGCAGAGGGGAGGGGAGCAGGGGGCGGCCCCAGGGGATGCAGGGCCTTGGGCAGAAGAGAAACCACGCCTGGCATCCCGAGAGTTGCCAGGAGGGCCTGGCAGGAGGACTTTGCTGGAACTGGGTCTTGTGCCACCCCCTTTCCTCCTCTTGCTCTCGCTTTCAAGGAGCCAGTCCCGGGGTTCCCTGGAGAACCGCCTGCGGACCTTTGCCCGTCCCTGGCTTAGAAGGAGCGACTGAGATTCTGCCAGCTCTCCCAGAGGCCCCGTGCGGAAGGGAGCACCCGCCGTGCCCCGCTTCGGGGAGATGCCATCCCCCGCGTGGGATCCTTTGTTCCCAGGGTCACGAAGGGGAAACGGGGAAGCTTCTGGGTCTCTCCGGCTCCCTCCAGAGCCAGAGCAAGCAGCTGCAGAGCAGTGCAGGGTGCCTGCCCCCTGTCTGTTCCCCCCCCCTCCCAGCCCAGGTTCCCTGCACTGCTTGAGCTGGCGAGCCGGGCGGGGCCACCCCTGCCTAACGGCTTCCCCGTGTGCTTCTCAGTTGACAAGGTGTCGGCCTTCAGCCGGCCCAGCCCTGTGGGAGATTTTCCCATCGGAACGGTGGGAGCCGCGTCATCCTTGAAACCTGCGCTGGGGAGCGTTCCCAGGGCTGGGGCTGGGCACAGGTTCCCTGCTGCTGCTGCTGCCGTCCAAGTGGGAGGGGTTCAGCGGGGAGAGTCATTCTCGGGGCCGCCCCGCCTTTCCCAGAAAAGAGTGTTTGGCAACAGGAATTGCCGTGCAGGTGAGGAAACCGGGGAAGTTCCCGGGAGATTCAGACCCGATGCCCCAGAGAGCTGCACCCCCACCGAGCCTCCAGGGCCCTGAGGCAGGGGAGTGGCTGCGGGCACCACGCCAGCCTCCCTCTCGGGCCTCTGCCTGGCTCCCCCAAAGGGCCGAAGGGCTCCCTTCCCCAGGTGGAGCCAGTGGCTGCTCAGCTGATGGTGGTGGGAAAAACCAGGTCAGGCCCATTGTGGAGAGCTCCTTCGGTGGCCTTTGAACTGGACTGAGGCCCCCTTCGCACCGGCCAGTTCTCCGGCCATTCCATTCCCATAGGGCCCCCGGGGCAACCGGCAAGGCCTTTTGTGCCTTGGGGGGGTCTCTCCGGGAGTCCCTGAGGCATCCCAGCATCCATTCCCCAGAAAACACATCTAGCTTCCACCGGGCCCCCAGCTGGCCACATCCCAGAAATGGCTAAGGGGAAGCCCAGGGGAGAGAGGCCCCCAGAGGGAGGGCAGGAGGGGCTGCGAAGGGGGCTGTGGAATCCCTAACCCTAAACTAGAGGGGGGGGCTTCCTCATGGCTGCCCTTAAACTGGGGCTCCTCAGACACAATGCTTGAGGTGGCTGTAGAAGAGGAAGGCAGAGCGGGACCACCACCCGCTTTTCAGGGTACCCCACTGCAGAAATAGGGGAGGGAGAGGGCGCTGGACTGTGGTTCCTCCGGGGTGGATTCTGTTCCCCTTGACTGCAAGCCGAGCTTTCCCAGGGCCCCCTCCCTTCCGAAGGGCCCGGAGCCCAGGGGAGCCTCACGAAGGCTTCTTCCCTCTGCCTCCCCACAGGCCTGCAACTGCAACCGCTACGTGAGGGTCTCCAAGGAGAACATGGCGCTGCTGAGGGAACAGGGCGGCTGCTGGACAGGGGAGGACGCAGGTATGCAGGGGGGGGCTGTCCTCCAACCCCGTCGGAGCCTACCTGGCGGCCCACCGGAGAAGCCTCAGAGCACACGGGAGCGTGAGGGAAAGTCCCCTTTTGGGGGGGAAATGGGTGGGGGCGGTCAGGGCTGGGTGTTCACTTCAGGGAGCCCAGGAGGGGGCAGGAAAGCCCCTCCCCTCCCTGGCTGTCCCAAAGGGGAGGGTCAGCCGGAGGGTGCAGGCCAGGGGCTGCTCTGGTGGGCTGCTGTCTCTGGATCCCTGGTGGGATGTATCAGCAGCAGGGTCCTCCTCCCCCCCCTCCCCAAGAGCCCCAGACGTCCCGCAGGGGAGGGCCACCCGCTTGCCTGAGACCTTCCCTGCCCCGGCTGCCATTCTTGTGACCGACCCAGCTGGCTGAACAGGTTTCCTTCTCAGGAAAGGCCTGAGAAGCAGAGAAGAACCTGGCTGGTTCCCTCACTGGCCTCTCCTCCTTCCCACGAAGGATAGGAAGCGCCCTCCGGGACCCCCCTCCCTCCCCTCCCCAGGCAGCTTGCAGGAAGAGGAGCAGAGCAGAGGAGCAGAAGCAGCGGCTGCCCACTTCTCCCCCCACCCACCCAATGCCAGGCTTACGTGCCCACTCCTCTGGCACCAACTGGGGGCCAAGGAGACCTTGCCCACATTTCTTGCCTCGGAGGGTCTGCTCCAGTCCTTCCCCGGGCGTAAACTGGTTCTGCTGCTGCAGGGGGGACGGGGCCCCCTTTGCCTGGTGAGAAGTGGCCAAGCCGGCCCCTTTTGGCAGCAGCTCAAAAGGTGGAGCTGCCGGCTTCTCTCACAAGGGCCCCTTCCCCAGAGAAGCCGCGGAGGGAGGGGAAAGGGGCCGCTGACCTGGAAGAGGACTGAGCACAGTGGAGCTGGGCTGCTGCTCTTTCCGGGACCCACCCCAGGCCTGCCGTTTTCTTTCCATTTCCACTGTGCTTGCACGTTAGGAGAGGACAATTAATTGTGGTATAATTACTCATTTGAATTTTTCACCCGGGGCTCCATGCAGATTTTTCCCAGGCTTCCCGCCTCTTTCTCTCCTTCCCGAGTCTCAGCGCCTCCCCCTGCTTTGCCCGGGATCCCCTCGCCAGCCCCAAGAGATCTGCCCGCGGCTGCAGTGCCAGCCTTGTGGCCCACATTGCCTCCATCTTCAGGCCTGGCCGAGGGCAGACGGTGGGCAGCCCTCTTGCCTGCCGAAAAGAGAAGGGCAAGAGGGAGAACCAGCAGACGGAGAGCGGGGAGCAGGGGAGGGAGGGGTCCTTCTGGGCATCTGGACTTGACAGACCCAAAGCAGGTGGGTCACCATTCTTCCCCTTCCGCATGCCCGCGGGCATCTTCCCTCGGCTGCCCTTTTGGCCACACAGCAGGGCCGTGGGCATGGAGGGGGTTTGCCCTGGCTCTTCAGCCAGAGAACGGGGGCCTCTTGGCCCCGCAGAGGATGCCCAGGGCCCCACGGGAAGCCCGGACGGTGCTTTTCCTCTCTGGACCTTTGGACTGCCAAGGACGCGCCCAAGGTGTGTTCTTAAGACCCGGGCGGGTTTTATGGCCCCAACCTCTGCCTTCCTCTCTCCAGGCAGCCGCCCTGACTTTGCACGCACACCTTCAGCCTCCTGAGCAGGGCTGGCTCTCCTTGGGGAAGCGGGAGAGGTGGCTGGGTTGGGCCTCCCGAGGACTAGCACCTTTCCTGCTTATTGAGGAAGCGGAGACAGTGCCAAATTCCCCACCGTCACCTTTTGAGGGACGCATTTTGACCGTTTCTGACATGCCGAAGGGTTGTTTTTTTACACCTGCGGCCTGTGAATGGGCCAAATTGCTCCTATCTGGAGGGTGTGGGTGTGTGTTGTTGTTGTTGTTGTGACTTTACACAGGAAGGGGAGACGGGGGCCGTTTGGCCTTCCTTGCCAGGGACACTTCAAAGGGTCACCGACAACAAAAGCACTTCAAAGTGGCCGTTTGTCAATGAGGAACTTGTAAAGCCCCCTCCATCCCATGCTCCCCCCCCCCCCGCTCCTCCAAGGAGTTCTTTTCAAAGCCCCTCTGCCTTGGAAAAGCCCCCACCCCACCCCGGCCAATGCAGAGAATGCCAAAAGGTCAGTTCCTTGCCGTCTCACCAGAGACAAAGGGGGTTTTCTTTGGGAAGGGAGGGAGTTGGAGGAGCAGAGCGGGGAGGGTGGGTGGCGGAGGAGCCCCCTTTGAGTGGGGAGGCAGAGTTCTCGCTCTCCCACGCTGGCTGCACCGGCTGCAGTTCACACCAGAAAGGCATCAGCAGAAATCTCCCCATTTAGGCTGCAGGTTCAGGATCTCCCCACAGCCTCCTGAGGGCTTCTCAGGACAGCCGCGGTGGCAGAGAAGACGGTTGAAAGTGGGTGGGTGGGTTGAGATCTTCGCCCACAGAGCCCAGTGTCCCCTCCTGGCCTTCCCTCCCTCTGCACCCTGCAGGGCTGCCTGGATGCAGAGACTCGGTCACCGCTCCTCCCTCCAGCCCAGGAGAAGGGGGTCTTCCCCTGAGGAGGGAGGCCAGGAGTGGGAAGCAGCAGATCCCCCCCCCCCCCATGGCCAGTGGCCAAGAGCAGGGAAGGCTAAAAGCTGCTCTTTCTTTTGCAGAGGCCTTTTTGGGAGACCCCGGCCCCACCACCAGCCTGGAGCCTCAAAGTTGCAGCCTCGGCCTTCCTCCACCTGCCCGCAGCCCACCCTGGCAGGGCCCAGAAGCAGCAGGCCCAGGGGACGAACCCGCCCTGCTGCCCACTGGTGTCCGCCTGAGAGTCGAGGCCGTGCCACCCGGGGTGCTGTGCCAGGAGGACCTGGCCTGCTTCTACTGCTGCAGCCAGTGCGGCCAGGTCTTCTGGGAGGGCTCCCACTTGGGCCGCCTGGTCTCCCAGTTCAGGGAGGTGCTGGAGCTGCCGGAGGAGAGCTGAAGCGGGTGGGGCTCTGCGCAGGGAAGCTGTGACCTGTCAAAACCGCGCTCGACTAAGCCGCGCCCGATTAAACCGCGTCGCTGACGTCATGAACAGGGCGACAACAGCGAGCGCGGAGAAAGAAGGGCGCTTTAAATAGCGCTTTGAAAGCAAGCCGATT